TGTTGAAATTGTCAAAAGTCCCACATCGGTGGATGACAATTTTGAATGGGAATTTCACCCTATAAAAGGAGGCCAGTAATTAGGATTTACACACACCTCTCATTTGCCTTTTTATCTTCTTAAGGCATTTGTATCTTCTCTCTTTAGTATTATTTCACTTATAATTTTGGAGTGGAATAAAATATTGATTGTGCCCGATGAAGTAGACAAAATTGGCCGAACCTCGTAAATTCTGGTGTTCTTTTATTGTTGTCTTATTGTCTTGTTTATTATTTAGTGGTTGTCGTAATTTTTGGTACAGTAGTTGTGACTCATTCACACTATATACATTTGGCTTTCGCAACATTTAGTACATACACTTAGGACCCGTTTGGCCATAGATTTTGTCAAAATAAATTTGGGCTTTATTTGGCAAACACATGTTCATAGATTTTGCCTGCATTTTGGTAAAATTCCAAATCCCAAAACCAGCTCAATAGCTTATTTTGAGCCAAAATATCACTATTATATTTTTCTAAAATTGTCCCAAACTTTTATAGTTTATAAAAGAGCCCACTATTTATTAATTTGTAACAATGTTGCTTCGTCTTCTCGGTCACCTGATAGTGTCTCGTGTAGTTCATTATAAAAATAATAATTTTGTATCGAATTTATTTATGTTCAGTACTATGGTTTGCGATAATATAATGAATGTTATTGATAATGACATTGATGGGTATTTGTAATAGTTTTTAAAACTTCTGGGTATAAGTCATGTTTCATTTTTTTCCAAAATAAATTTGGGAAATATGTTTTGAAAACTGATGTCCAAACACATTTTTATCTTCAAAACAAACTTCACCCAAATCAGATTTTTCAGAACAAATTTAAAAATTTATGGCCAAACGCTAGCTTAGAGGTTTATTTATGTGATGTTGTTTCGTTCGTTTGAGTTGTCTTACTTTCTTTTTGTTACTGTTGATGTTAATTATTCTTTTTTATATCTTTCTTCTTTTCCTCCTCTTCTTGTTCTTAATTTTCTTTCTCTCTCTTTACCTTGTTTTGAGCCGATAGTCTACCGAAAATAACCTCTATCTTTACCAGGTAGGGGTAAGATTTGCGTGAACACTATCCTCTCCCTATCCTACTTATAGAAATAAGCTGAATTTATTGTTGTTGTTGTTACATACTTAAGGTAAGCTAGTACTGTAAGCGTACCTCAAACTTTAACATAAAGACCATTGCTTATTATTTTCTTAATTTGTTCGGCCCATCTTAGTGGATAGAAGAAAATCCCGATATTTTTTTACGGAATATCCGTTCAGATGGCAGATAAGGCCCGGGGTAAAATAACTCTTAGGGTTGTTTGGTATATGGGATATGGATAATAATCTCAGGATCAAGTTTGGAATAAACTTTATCCTATGTTTGGTTTGTAGTGTTAGCTAATACAATGATAACTTTTATACTAAAATAGTGGGATTAGTTATCCCATATAGAAAATGTGATAACTAATCACATGTGATATCCCATCATTGTACCAAACAACTCCTTAATTTGTTCATCCCATTTCGCTGTTGGACATAAGTCGCATTTCTGAACGGTGAGCGTAATCTTAGTACAATAGACTACATGACTTATAAATAGCATTTAGTAATTGTCACTTATATATTGCATTTGGTAATTGCGATATAAATTGCATTCGGTTTGCGACATACATATGGTATGTGTAATTGCTACTTATAAATCGTTTAGCATTTCATAATTGCCAATTACAAATACAAAGCACCTTACTGTTCAGTTTATGCCAATTATAAATCGGTCAATAAAACCGCATTGCATGCGACTTTCTATAAATGTCACTTTCTATAAAATCCATTATATTTTTTATAAATGCATTTTATTTAAAAAATTGCACATTTTGTTTTTTTTTGTTTTTGAAGCGTCTCTCTCTCTCTATTCCCTGCGACGAACACTTGCTTCTCCGGTAATCGCTGCCGACCACCATTTTCCACCGGAAACGGTTTGTTTTTCTGTTCTCTTATTTATTTTTCTACTTCTTCTGTTAGTTCGTCTCATTTAGCTTTGCTAGCAAAAACACTGAGCCTTCTTTTTGTTTATATATTAGGGTAAAAATGTTGCCCTTTTTCAGTTTTCTGAATTGGGTTTTGAAAATTCACTTAGGTTTTTCTATTTTCTGAGTAAAATGTACTAGTAATTTTCTTGAGTTCTACTGTTGTCAGTTGTTAAGATTTTAATATTTTCTGTTTTTGCGTTGTTTTAAGTTGGATTTAGTGTTGAGAGTTGGTTTTGCTTGCAATTCCTCAAGATGGGTTTTAGTTGTTTCTTTAAATATTTTTTCTTTTCCCAAATTTTCTGTTAAATTTTGATTTTTTTAATCTTGTTTACATTTGGTTCTGATGTTTTAAAACTCACTACAATTTTTTTAATTTGGTTCAAATTACTGCTCTACGAGTTTCAAAGTAATTGTCATATCCCGAGTTTTGGTTCAAATTACTTCTCTTTAAATTTGTTTACATTTGGTTCTGATGTACTCTAGCTTGATTTCTATATAATTAAATGTTGTAGTATTTTTACAGAATTGTATTAATATGCCCGATTCATTTTTGGTCAAAATTAACCTTTAATAAGTGAAAAGGGATTGACAAATTGGGATGGAAGAAGTAATTCATTAGTGTTTTCTATCTAAATGACAATAATAAGCATGTATGCATGCTCGGTCGAACCCAGTAACCTCTGTTGTATTTGTAAAATTAAATTTACAACCCAATTATTAGCACTTGAAGTCTTCGTTCTGAAATTTATAACTCATAAAGCTGAGATCGTGGCTCCGCCTCTGCTTGTTGCGTGAACTTAAAATTGATAATAATAAATTGAACTCTCTGCTTGCCTATTTCCCAAAAATTTTACAATGTTTTGACTGTTCTCTCTCCTTTTCTTCTCTTTTTTCTTTTCGTTATTTTACATTTCTAAACATTGTTTTTTATTATAGTAACTAGCCATGTATTTATTCTTTGTGATATTAAAACTGACCCAATGGTCATTTCTGGATGCTAGGTGCAAGGGTAACATAACTTGGAAGATCAATAATTGGCTAAACGATCATTTTCTAAGATCAGCTTTTCTTAGGTATCCTGAAGAAATACTTAGTGTGCAGATACTTTTGGTAAATATGTTTTTTTTTTTAAGAATGTTTGGTAAATATGTTGCAGCTTGGAGAACTGGTTATTTCAAAATATTGTCAAATTTGAGACACTGTGACAAAATTTAAGCTGGTCTTTGGATTTTCTATCATGTGAGAAAAGGATGCGAAAGAGAGTTTGGAATGCGTCGAGGATTTTCTATCACACGGGAATAGGACGTAAAATAGAGTTTGGAATACGTTGAGGGCAATATTGCACGCTTCATTAATATACTACCTACTTGAAGAAACACTTCAACTCCTGAATTTTTTTCTTTTTTCTTTTTGGCTAAAGTATGAAGTCCTTAATCTTTTTATCCAGTACATGAATCATGAATGTTGCTGATAACCTCATAATCTTTTATCCATTTGATTAAGTCCACCTTGCTTCAGGTCTGCAGCAATCCAAACTGCAAATGCATTACACAGTTATCTTAATTTCATTTAAGGTTACTCATGGTTCTGAGATATCATTTTTTGTGGATTTGTGCAATAAAAGCTAATAGTTCAAATCTTAGGAAAACTCAATCATACTAGCACCACAAATTGGAAACACGCATAGCAAAGAGCATGATTACCATCAATATGTAATAGTATATGCTTTGGTTTGTGAGCTTGGATTTTAGCCATACTTTCAGTAAGAGATTTTTGATATAGCATTTTCTACACTTTATATTGGCTTCCTTGCTTCCTAACTGATTCATTTGTTTTTGCCCTTATAGGCTATAGCAACTGATTTTTGCTGCTACTGAATGATTGAACCCATGCCTGCTATGAAGAAGGTCAAGATTCTTTTTTCTTCTATCTTATTTCTTTATTCAGCATAACATTTACGTCCATTTTTCTTGCAAAAGAGTTACCCCACGTAAATGGGGTCTGCAGGTTATTTTGACCTTTGAGTATTTCCGCATGTTTATTCATGACCCTGTATTTCTTTTCCTATTTATTGGGAAGATGTAGGTACTAATAGCTTCCTTAATTGATTCAGAAAGGGGGCAAATCAGCACTTTACTGTAAATAAAATTCTCTTCTAATATATCTAAAGCAAAGGAAAGAGTCTATTCAAGTAAAATTTTCTCACATAAAAGGGGGTTAGCACTTTGCGGGTTCTAAGTTTAAGTTACATAGCAGCGCGCCAGCACCTTTGTATATGTGAAATGGAATAGTCCTTTTTGCTATATAAAACTACTGCTTTGGTTTTAAATGGGATAATCCTTTTAAGCTTATTCCTTTGATAAGGATCCCTTCTAAAGTAATATATCAGACCATTATATATTCTTGCGTCTGACCCAGCATAGACTCTTTCATCTTGCTGTCTACTGTCCCTGTCTGCACAAGTCATTTGCTGTTGGACACAAATGTTGTCCCTTATAAGGAGAGTTTTTTGGACACAAATGTTGTCCCTTAGTAGCACAGCCTAACTAGAAGTATCCACTGTATAGTTGCTGTTTTCGTTTTTCTTTTTCCTGGATTATTCCTTTACTTGAAAAATTAGCATTTTGTAGTTTAGCAAGGATAAAAGCAGAGTAGCGTAATGGAAAGAAACGCGTCAGCTAAAAAGCCTATTAGAATTCTGATATGTTATTCTTATATTATTGTTACGGAGCTTCTCTTATGAAGTCTGTTGTGTGTGTGTGTGTGTGTTTATGTTTGCTATATCAGCATCTTGTTAATATGCAATTTATTTTCCTTTCTGCACAGAGTGCTGTCCATGGTGGGATTGGGCATGTATTCAACAAATTGACAAGTGAAATTGGAGATCCTGTTGACTTTGAACTTCCAGATTGGTTGAATAAATGGCAACCCACACCCTTTACCTATATAAAGCGTAGTATCCTTCAATAGAATTAATTATGGTAGATCTATTAGATGCTCTTTAAAAGTTTGATAGTATTCTAATTAAACATCTCTTAATTCTATACACTGATTGATAAGATAATTGCCTTGGTCTTCTGTTTGATGTGCATTGTTTCTTATCTTTGTATAGCTTCCTTCAACATTTCTCTGTTTTTAGTTGTGTCAGTATTAACTATTTGTAAGATATATACCTCACCAAGAAGGTTAAGCGGCGGCTGGAAGATGATGGCATATTTTGTTCCTGCAGTTCAACAGCAGGATCTTCGGACGTGTGTGGCAGGGATTGTCTGTGTGGGTAAGGATGACTCAATTAAAATTCATTTAGCAGTCCGAGCTTTGATAGACTTAAATATATTTTTTGGAAATTACATCCCCATGACCTGCATAAATTTGTTGATTGGGAGTTCTTACATGGTTCTAGCTGACAATTTTCTGCACTGCATGCATTCCTCTTCCTTTCTAGATAAAGTTAATAGACTCTATATCTAAGTACTCGTGGCCTAATATGCAAGTAACACGTTCTGCTGATATTCTTGCACTGGATTTGATATGTCTGCACTTTTTGTTTGTAATTTCTACAGCACCAAAAATAAAAAAAGAAAAGGAAAAGGAAAAGGGTGGTAGGTCACTAGGTTGTTTGGTTCCATCCATGTGGGTAATCTAGCTTTGACATTTTACTTATAAATTCAGAGAAAGAAGTTTCATTGATTAAGTGGAGCCCAATAATTAGACACAAGGAAGATGGAAGCTTTAGAGTTAGAAAATTAGAAGTTCATAACTAAAGTTTGCTGCGCAAATGGCTATGGAAATTCAATGATGGCAAGGCAGCACCTTGGAAATCTGTCATTGAGATCAAATATGGAAGAAAGGGGTTTGGACTCCTAAGGCAATGAAAACACCCTATGGAGTTCCTGTGTGGAAACAGATAGTCAGTTTCTGGGGAGATTTCAGCAAGATGTTAGCATTATAGTTGGAAATGGGCAAAGTGTTAGGATGTGGAAAGACAATTGCGATGGTATTGGACTGCTAAAAGAGCAATTTCCTTGCCTTCACAGTGTGGTGAATAATACTAATGTATTAATGGCTGATGTCTTTAGTGAAGATGGCTGGAATTTTCAAACTTCAAGTTCAGGAGGATTTTCTTTGACCGGAAATGCATGAAGGGGACCTTTTTCTTGCAAAAGATGCATTATGTGAAGATAAATCAGGGGATGGTAGATGTATTGTGCTGGAATTCTAAATAGAAAGGAGTTTTAATCATCAATTCTTATTATAGAAAACTCATTTAAGAAGACACTGAACTGGGATCTATGTGGCCTTGGAAGCTGATTTAGGAGACTTTGCACCAACCAAAGTGGCTTGTTTTGGTTGGTTGGTGGTCCATGAAGCATGCTTGACACAGGAGAATTTGAGGAAAAGAGGCTTTAAGCTTTATAGCAGATGCTATCTATGTGAAAACTCTTGCGAATTTGTTGATCATCTCTTTATGCACTGCAGTTACACCTGGCAGATTTGGACCATTTTTATGGAAATTTATGGTGTGCAATGTGCTATTCTTGGAAATCTCAGAAGTCTGTTAGGATGCCGGAAGTCAATATATGCAGGTAAATTTCAGAAGAAGATCTGGTTGACCATTCCATTATGCATAGCATGGACCATCTGGACTGAGCGGAATAGGAGATGTTCTGAGGGCAATAAGGAGCAACTTCAAGTAGTGAAAATATATATGTATTCTAATATGTATTACTGGAAGAGTGAAATTTTATTTTTATATTTCCAGGATATGCTCGACTTGTTAGATTTTATATGGATTTAATGTGTCAAGTCTGGCTCTTTGTATTTGCCACAGTATCTTCTTGATACTGCTTTTGAATAAAATTTTACCTTATCAGAAAAAAAAGTAGTCTTATATATTCTTAGCAATTATTAGTTTGATGGTGAGATGTATTTGACCATTGGTGGATGTATAAGAGGGTTAGATGAATTTACTCAACGTTTTTCTGATAACCAAGAAACCACTAAGGACCACTGGTGCACGGTTCAAAACTCAGTTCATAATGGGCCCGCCGCTCTACCTTTTTCCACTTAAAATCTAGACTTTTGTCTGCAGCAAAGTTCGACCCCTTGACATGTGCTTAATCCACGCACCAGGTGCTGCACTCTTACCACTACACCAAAGCTCTTTACTCTTTTTTATCGGTGAATAATTGATGGAATGACTAGTGGTATTAGTTTCATTGTAGGAGAAGGTAGTCACTGCACTAAGGAGCTGTTTGGTAATTGAATGGGATATGCCTTCTCTTTGGGTAGGATGGTATGAGGAGATTATGGGTTGGATTATATGTCACGTCACATGTTTGGTGTGTCCTGATTAATGACCAGATATCTCATCATTGTCCAATGGAGTTTTTGACTTGCAATGGGATGGCCTTTTATTGCTACTTCCCAATTAGGCCCTTGACATCATCTTTTGCTTTTTGTTATTTAAATATTTTTTAAAAACTCTAGAAGTTATAATTTAGTCCAACTTAATTTTTTCATGCCACAGAATCATCATCCATCAATCTGAGAAAAAACAAACTAAAATTGCGTAAGAAAAAAGAAAAAAAAAGCTTGTCCCAGAAAAGATAAAGAAAAGAAAGGCGATAAATATTAAATTCACATGGAAGGATGAATAAGGAAGGGGAAGGGAAAATAGAGAAGGGGAAGTTGAGTGTGGGTTGAGTCTTCATACGGGAGGGAAGGAGGGACTGAAAGGGATATGAGAGGGCTCGCATGGGGTGGGGGTTGGTTAATCCTCAAGTGTGGTGCTTGTAGGATGGGGTTTCTAAATGGGTAGGGAGGCAGCTCGTGACTATGTTGTAAGAGTGAGAATAGCAAGGTTCCTGGCATACGGGTTAAGGTGGGAGGAAAGCTGGACTTTGATGAAAGGGGATGTGACAGGAAGCCTAGGCTTGATTGGGCGTGAAAAAAAAGGAAGAGATGAATGTTACCTTCTCAATAAAAAATAAAAAATAGAAGAGATGAAATAAGAAGATGGTGCCTTAATATGTTATATATCATAATAGGTGCTTATCCAGTACCCCCAGGGCCTAGCTCAAGTGGCAAAGGGTGGTGGATTTGTGTCTTAGGTCACAGGTTCAAGCCCCCACACCATGCAAAGCAAAGCCTGGTATTAAAGTGGAGAAGGGTAGAGGGGCGGACCCATTATCCACCGAGTTTCGAAGGCTGCGGTTGGTCCAAAGGATCGGCCCCAGACGGATTTCTCGGTCATAAAAAAAAATAAGTGCTTATCCAGCGAAAAGTTATAGTTACCCCCTCCTGTAAATAAAGTGGCGAGACTTCTTTGGATGATTTATCCAGAATCATCCAATCCAGGGTTTACATAATTTGGGATTATGTTGGATAACTTTTATGCAAACCTTAATCCTATGAAGTAGCACCTGAGGCGCAAAAGAGATACTACTTTCAGCATCTTGACATTTAAACCATCTGTAAAGTCGTGGGTTGTTAGTTATTTCACTTTGCTTTTTCTTGCAGCATTTTGTGGTCTAGCTGCTCCTCAGGGTGTAAATGTGGGAGTGCTTGTCTGAACAAACCATTCCATCAACGTCCTGTGAAGAAGATGAAAATAGTTATGGTATGCACATAAACTTTGAACACTGGGATATTTGGACATATGTTAGTTATTGCGTGCATTTTGACAGCATTGAGTCATCATTTATATCATTTGTGACCTTGTCTTTATTAGTCTTTTTGTTACCAGGAGTGTAGACAATTCCTTTCCCATATAGAGCATTTTCAGTTTTCAGACAATTGACACCAAAGAAGCTTAGAACCTGATGTTTCTTATTTTTCCACTTTTAAGAGGTTGTACATACTTTGATTGAGTAGTTATGATTGGTATCTTAGTGCTTTGGTCATAACATAGGTTTTTGAATTTTCCTTTCATGTTCATCTTTTCTTTTAGGTTCTCTTTTGTTTGTTGTTTTTCCGTTCACATCATTGTTTGCTAAGCTTACTCATTTAAAAAGAGGACCAGAGTTTACAAGCCGACTGAAGTAAGTCAAGCTCATTATATAATGATGGATTCATAAAAAGTAATCAATCAATAAATGATACAGTAAAAAAAAGTAATCAATTAGTACCTAAACAAACATAAAATTTGCCAAATGGTACCAGCTTCCAAATGCCTCAAAAAATGCAGGGTGGTACCATTTGCCATATCTATTTTTGCATTTCATTTTCTCACATATCTGGTGTAGAATTAAATTATTGTTGCTTATTTCATACTCTTCCAACTTTCGTTCTTCTGAAAACCAACCAATAATCATCTATGATAGTCAAGCTTTGTTGACACATAAAATGCAGACTGAGAAATGTGGCAGTGGGATTGAGGCAGGTGAAGATATCAAGAGAAAAGAGTTTGTTATAGAATATGTTGGAGAAGGTGAAGTTCTTTCAGTTTCTTGCTTATTACGAGGAGTATTTCATGTTTTGCACATTCTGAGCTGTTACAACTGCAGTTATTGATGACAAAACATGTGAAGAGAGACTTTGGAAAATGAAGCATAGTGGGGAAACAAACTTTTACTTGTGTGAGATCAATCGGGATATGGTGATTGATGCCACTTACAAGGGCAACAAATCCAGATACATTAATCATAGCTGTTGTCCAAATACTGAGATGCAGAAATGGTATATAAACGGCTTAATATTTACTAATCATTTGTAGCTCTCTCAAACCCTCTTCTCAGGGATACCAGCCTATTGTGGGAATTATTTGTTTTCGTACTGAATCATATTTTCAGGTTGATGGATGGTGAGACAAGAATTGGCATATTTGCGACACGTGACATTAAAAAGGGCGAGCATCTGACCTACGATTATCAGTATGGACATTGAATTTTTATTTTGATTGTTTTCTGCCATCCTAGCATTTTCGGTCAGCAGTGTGTTATCTCCGAGTGTGCATTTGCCCTTGCTCAGTCTAACAAGTGTAGCAGGTTTGTTCAATTTGGCGCAGATCAAGATTGCCACTGTGGTGCTGTAAAATGTAGGCGAAAGCTGGGAATTAAACCTAACAAACGAAAACTTTCCTCTTCAGATGCTGCATTAAAGTTAGTGGCATGTCAAGTTGCTGCGTCCTCTCCCAAAGTGAAAGCATTGCTATCTGTAAAACATGTGTGTATCTCTACTCTGTCTATGATCTGAGATATAAGAGCAGTGTGTGTGTCGGGTCGATTCATTCTTTTCGCTTGGACGTTTATTTACTAGATTTATGACCAAATTCGTTAGTGCTTGTCCATAATTGTCCTGGTGGTTTGCGAAAATGAAATTGATAGCAAATTATGACCTTCAGTTTTATCGAGCCATACATATTTCTGCTCCTTTCTGAATTTTGTTAGAGGGAGTCGTAAAGAGGACAAGATGCTTGAAATTACCGTCTAAAAGTAGTTCCCTTCATTCCTTTTCCCAATTGGGCAGGGCCACCCTGTGGAAGAACCATGCTGCTTTTCCCTGGAAAGAAGTTGGAAGATCACTTTTCCATGCGAAATGACATGATCTATCTAAATGAAATTTCTTGCATTTGTTGGAAACTTAATACAGTAAAGAAGATAATTTGTATAAGATAGCCAACTGCCAAGGTCTGAGGTTTTCTGCTTTCATTATTTGGCTGTGACCTGTATTTATATGTTTGCAGAAAAACATAAAATTATCTCAAACCCTTAGTGGACTAGAGGTTTAAATGATGATCATAAGCTACTTTGTTGTAGTTGAAATATGAAGAAAGGGGCACCCAAGGGTGTAGCCTAGTAGTTAATGAAGTGGGTTAAGAACCATGAGGTCTCATGTTCAAATCGCAGCGGAGACAAAAAAACACTAACTGCATGTTGTTGGTGGGAGGTAGCAGGTATCCCGTGGAATTAGTCAAGGTGCGCGCAAGCTGGCACGGTCACCACGGTTATCAAAGAAGAATATATAAAGAAAGGTAACACGAGGATGTGAGGGCGAAATAGACTTCATCTGAAGTAAAAGTGCAAGGGTTGCATGATGGTACATGAAGTGTGTTATGAGCAGAGGCGGACCCACANTTTTTTCTTTTCCTTTAATTTTTTTCTATCTTATTAATTTCTAATCCATTTACATTATTTTTCAGGATTTTAATATTTAAGTTTACCTATCTTGTTTTTTATATGTATTATCGTTAGAATGGATGTGATTCTCTATAATTTATAAAATGCTGGTAAAACATACAATTCTCATCTGGAAGTAAAAATATTTGATTAAATCAAAGTTAAATCTATTTAATTAATTGGATGATCGATTTGTATATATAAGTTGAATAAATATAACTAAGTTAATATATATTCAGTCAGGAACTGCGCTAAATTAACGCAGAACCGAACAACTAATCAAATGCATTATGGCGACAGCCAACTATATAGATTAAGATCGGGTGCACCCACTGTCTATAAATCCTGGGCCCGCCTCTGGTTATGAGTTAATAACCTGTTAGGATTCTTGTAAGATGAAGATAGCTGGAAAAGCATGCATGACGGATGACTGACTTAGTGTTTGTGTTTGGCAGAGGCTAGTGTCATGGTAATCCCAGATCTATGAGCCTACTAAGTGTGTTAGATGCCTGTCTTGGATAATAACAGGATATCATTCTGAGGTGGGTCAAAATATTTTCTTCACTAATTAGGATGTGGTTTGGCGTTTTGCAATCTTTGAACTCTAACCTAACTAGCTAGTTCTTCCCAGAAATTGATAAGAGTAGTGTTAATGATGTTTTGATAATTTGTTTTGGTTCTTGCTTCGTAAATGTATACACGTAAATAGTTTGAAGGAGCTGCAAAGCACTCTAATATTTGAGTAAGGCCAACTCTTTCTTCTTATTATTCTCTCTTTTCTGCTTTGTTTTCTTATTATTTTTTCTTTTCTCAGATTTGTTACCTCTTCTATATTTTTTTCTCAAAAGGTTGATGTTATTGAGGAAGAACGAGGGTTTTGAAATGCCTTTCCCTTGTTTAATTTTCATTCGAAGTGAAGGCAGATGACTTTGATATGTGCAAAGAGGAAAAGCAGAGAAAACAATAGGATACCACAGAGAATATCTCCCAGCTTAAGTTATGCTTTTAAAAAAAAGGAAGTTTTGTTATCTCGTTTGCACTTCCTTTAAAGACCAAGTTATGGGTACCTATATGTTGTTAATTATGTCTGACTATTTCCTTCATATTTCTCCCATTTTACTGCCTTTGGTTTGGTTCCATTGATGGATACAGACCGAATAGTTGCATACACTTTGTTTCTCGAAGAAGCGATTTCGAACGCTATTCTATTATCTTTCAGATTCCTATAATACATTATCTGTTTCCCCCGATATTGGACTTATTAACCTTTTATTTACTTTTATACCAGGGTTGTCAAACTGGAGTTCCTCCAAAAGGTAGGTTAAGTAGTCATTTGACTTCCATGATATCTGTGTTAGGAAAGTTAGTGTCTCTTTGATTTAACTTGGATCTCATCCTGTTTAGGAAGTTGGAATTGTGATTCTGCTCAGAGAATCCAGCGTCCTCGTAACTGCGTAGGTCATCTTATAAGAATAATTCGCTCTTGTGATCAAAGGTATGTCTCATTAGTATTCGTAAAATTCACTATCTTTTCTATCTTTTCTATCTTTTTTCAATGATTAGATACTGTAGTATACTATGAAATATTTTAGTTTCTTTCTAGGAAGTCTATTCAAACTTCAGATTTTAGTTATTAATGCTGAGATATTTTCATGAAACCTGCATCTCTATTCAGAGAAGTAATTAGAAATTTGTTTCACATGTGGTATCCATGGTTTCATTTTTCATGGAATCTTTTTTGAGGTCTCTTTTATAGCTTTTCTTATGTAATCCTCAGGTTTGTATTAAACATTGTTTTGCATTAGGAATTGTCTACTAACTTTATGTGTGTGTGGTAGCCAAGTATGAAAGTGGTTGCAATCTTGTTAACTTGATAAAGACAGTATCCTCTAAACCTAGAAGCTAGGAAGTTTTTCCGTGGATACTCTTCCACTGGTTGCCAATTTAATCTTCGGTTTCTTCTCATTTATTTGTTCATGTTTTACCTTTTCCAGTCCTACTGACTTACTGTGGGTCTTGAATACCTTGTTTTTCTCAGGTCCTTTGGAATTATAAAACAGTTTGACAGCATCACCAAAAAACATTTGGTAAGGAAGCTTTGAATTTTTTCTTGTGGAACTCGGACACCCGTGATTTGGCTGATTATTCACTTTTGTTCTTCCCTCATCCGCCCCAATCCAACCTAACAGATCATGTTTGAAGACGGTAGTGTCGAGTACGTTGACATGTCAACAGAAGATTGGGAATTTTGTAACTTTCTTGTGTAATCAGGTATTTGTCCAACTTTTTATTTAAGGTTCAATCTATTATTTGTATACTATTGCAGAATGGATCCATGCACCCAGTTCAGGTTTAAAGGTTGAATTTTAATTAGGGATAATATTCTAAGAAGTCGTCAGAGATTATATACCAGTAGAAAATATAGAAAACTTCTACTCTTCATTTCTATTTTGTATAATATTGGCATGATATGAGCTTGCATGGAGAGATATGATCGCTGAGGATTCATATAGCCGACTCCAACTTGTTTGGGATTTAGACATAGTACTATTGTTTGTTGTTTCTAAGGAGTTCATTGCGGAACAATTGTTTTGTAGGTCTTAGCTGTCAGGATAAAGATATACATGATTCAACATCTGCAGCAGAGATGCGATATGTTGTTCAACATCCAAAATTGCAATGGCCCGCTAGCTTTGTTTCTGTTGTACCAAATGTAGCATGTTTCCTCTCCCAATTTCATTTGTTGATATAAGTCTGCTGATGTTAGTACTCTCCTTTAACTGGTGATGGAAGTTCTGATGATTCTTTCCCATGTATAAACATAACAAATGTAACAATAGGTCACCCCGTTCCAATTGTATCGGATATCTCCGATAAACAAGTTGACTATGTGGTTCATAATTCAATAACTAGAGAGAAGAGAGAAATTCGTTAGCTCTCTATTTTTGTACCTTGATTGCTCGTGTATTGTGTAAAGTTTGCTGAATTTGGATATGGTCAAATGTGTTTGTTTCTGTTCATTTTTTCTTGATCTTTTTCACATTCTGTTTCTACTTTGGCCTTCAAAAGAGGATTTGCTTTCACAATTTTCTTTTACTTGTATGCTTTGATTTCTAAACAGGTCAAAATTAACATTGTGAACTAATTTTTAGTTACATAGTTTATTTACAACTCCTATTTCCAAATCTGTGATGTGTGTGCGCGTGTTATACATGACATCTTTTCTTAGGTATATTGTTGTCTATTGAACTGATTTGTAATAACTATCCGAAGAGCTGAGTTTCAATAATTTCGAAACTGGTAACCACAAGAGAAATTAGTCCAATTTAGTCCATCTAAAGGTTTGGACTAGGCAGCCAATGTAGTCCAAATTCACTCACAAGAATTTGAAGAACTAGCTTTTTTTTTTTTATTTTTTTTTTATTGTTAGATTTGTTTCATAGTTATAGTGTGCAAAAGAAAAAAGATTTTAGTAGTTTAATATAGTGGGAACAAACAACAAACAAATGAGGGATTAGTTATGAGGTGGACGAGTTGGGTCATGACACGTGTATAGCCCAAATTGACTCACCCATATTTGAACCAAGTAAATTTTCTGAGATTATAAATTAACCTGTTCATTAATTCAACTTATTTTAACTCGCACTAGCTGGGAGCATTTTTTTTTATGTGTTATTTGTACATCATGCTTTTTACAATTTTAAATTTAAGAAAATAATATTTTTAGATCTGTTATGTGTAAAAGATAGATATCTTACGAATAAAAATAAATCTCTCTCATATATAAAAAATATAGGATAATAAATCTAAAAACAAGTTTGTTGTATAGCGCAAAAAAAAAAACAAAAAAAAACAACAACCAATTGATACATTTTTGTGCACAATTGACACTTTTCCCGCCAGCATTTTNTATATATATACAGTTTCAAGGGTTTTATAAAATTCTCTTTTCTTTACTGCAAATTCAAATTCCTCTTCAATGCCGACGCTTTCATGGCGGCAGCATACACTAATTCAAGCTCTTTTATATCGCGGCCCTCTCAAAGAAAATGATTTCAAATCTCTTTTCTTCAAAGTCACTGGCAAATCCGCAGGTTTTTTTTTTTTTTTTCTACTTCAGTTTTTTTTTTCATTTTAAACTCTTTTTTTCGCATCAGTTTATGGGTTTTTAGTTAAACTCCTTTGATCCAATTACAATATTAGTGATTTTCATGTTTTTATGGGATTTTTTTTTGTTATGAAAATTTCAGTTTTAATTGTCAAGGGATTGTTATCAATCTCAAAAACCCAATTAGAAATCTTATTCAAGTTTCTTTTTAAAAATTGTTAAAGGATTGTTATATCATTATGAAAGCTAAATTATTACCAAATTTTCCATTTTGATGCTTTGCAAAAAGGGGTAAATTTTATTGTTACAGTAACAAATTGTTTAATGATTCTGATTTTATTATGTTTTTATGCTTTCTGTTTCTTTGGTGATAAGTAGTACTATTAATTTGATTAGTTCTTTGATTAGTGATGTTAAATTAATTGGAATAGATAAAAAATACTCTTTCTTTTCTAGTAAATGTGCGGGAGAAAAAAGGTTGGTTTCTGATACTGATTTTATATGTGCATGTTTCAGCTAATCATCAGTCAATGTTTAATGAATACCTGAGAAAGATAAACGAGGAGCTCGCTTATGTGCAGTTTGAGTTACGGGCATGTAGAAACCAGTATGATGGGAAGGTGTATTATGGTGTTGTTAACAATGTTTCAGATGAGCAATCCAAACTTGGAACTAAATATTCAGTTCCTCAGATAGCTTTCTATAAAGGCGTTGTGAGCTTCTCTTCCCTTTATTTTGAACTGTGTTGAGAATGTCCTTATCCGTTTACATAGCCTCCCCGTGTCCATATAATGAAGTATTTTATAAATTTTGTCGAGGAATTTTTCTAGCTTTTCGAAAGGGAAAAAACTGTGGAAAAAAAACCTTCATTAGTATATGGACTAGAGAACAAGAACCAATTAGGTTGCAACAACAACAAAAAAAAAAACCCCGGTGAGTTTCCACAAGTGGGGTCTGGGCAGGGTAGTGTGTACGTAGGCCTTACGCCTACCTTGGAAGAGGCAGAGAGGATGTTTCCGATAAGGACCAATTAGGTTGCATTGAATATAAAACAAAGCTGCTGAGTGTTACTTTTCTCATTTGAACTCTGAGACTTATGTATTTGTATTTCCAATTGACCATTTTTGCAAGGGCTGGGAATAGCTTTATCTCCTTAACTTACCTCAAAGATGACGGAAAAGGAAGAAGATCTACATGTTATTAGCCTCCTAAAACATTGATCTTTGTGATTAAGATAGTAATGAATTGCTAATGGGAATAGAGCAACTGACACTAGCCTTTTGTTCAGGTAACAGTAGAAACATGAAACTCATATCTTCCTTCAGTCAAGCATAGTATTAGGCTCTGTTAGTTATGTACAAAATAATATTCAGGAGTCCCATTTAAATTGAGAAGTTGAAGTTAGTTGTTCATTTACTTCATACCAGCTCAAAATGTTGGTAGTGGAAGAGGTATGGTGGTCTTCATTTACTTCGTTTTAATCTTGCGTCCCTTTTCTCAAACAAATTTACACTAAACGTTTTAAGGGGAAGAATTGAATAACTAACTTAGATGGTTCCAGTAATTGATGTTTTCTCAATCAATCAACTGGGCCTCAATCCTAAACTAATTGGTCATGCTATATGAATCTTCCACTCATCTGCATCCATTCTGCTCGGCCCTTTTCATTCAAATATTGAGTAAATTGTATTTTAAGGTAACTTAGGGGTTTCCTACAATTAAAGATCTCTAAATTTCACACTTATCCCAACACGGACATAAAATTCTCTAACTATAATTAAAGAATCCTGTCAAATATTGGACTTAATGTATCTGTATAGTAACCTAGCTTTAATCCTAATCATTGACTTCCATTGTATTATGTTCTTAGCTAAGACTGGTTAGTGTTTCTTAGAGAAAATAAATACAATTATAGAAGATCTTGAACATTGCTTATTAGTAATGTCATTATGAGATTAAGATTTTCCCTTTTTCTTTTTGACATTAGAATTTAAAAAAGAAAAAAAGAAGATTTATGTGGTCATCGTATAATTGCAGATTGAAGCAATTGTTCAAGATGTGGCGGCTTTGGGTTGTATTTCAACCATTGATGCACTGAACATACGGCTTGAAAATCAGGTTTTCTTACTTCCTAACAATAAATGAATGTATGTGGCTACTATCAGTTTCATCGTTTATAGTATTTATCTTGCTGCTATCTTCCTGTGAGTTATTAGCTAAATGTGAAATTATGGTTTAGAAGATAAATTGTTCTTCACTATTGACAACTTCCCTTCTCTAGTCAAGGTTGATATAGCTAGACCTGTTCATACTTGTAACTAGTCAAGTCTTATTTTCACAAGCACAGACACACATACAGTTTCTATATATAGATAATGCAACATTTACAGGTCAAATAACAGCAACATAAAAAGATAAAGCCCTAAGGAGGCAGATAGTTATGGCCTCGGATGATCTTTGCTTTATATTCATGTTGATTTCCTTGCTTTCTGTTGCCTCTATATTCATATTTAGTAAGTTTCTATCTGGAAAACAGTGTAAAATAAAGTATTCGGGGAATGGTTGCTAGTATCAACTTATGGCCGCAAATCATTTTCTTACTCGTTCAGAGGTTATCTGCTTCTTAATAATGAGGCTTTTTATTTTTGACTTAGAGTCGCATGACCAATATGTACTTACAGTCAACAAAGACTGAATGGTAACTATTTATTGTGAATACCAAAACCTCCTGTTTGTTTGTTTACTTCTCTTGTTTGATGATAAGAGTGGACACTTTTGTTCAATCAGTTAGAGGATATGGAATGGGACTTAAACCCATGTCTCATCAGGACCAAGGCTTTTACGCTTGCTCATTGACCAGGATGTAACACATATGAAGTGCCTTTTCGTAGAATGTCAACTAAAAATGGCGGGATGGCAGGATATGGTTGTGACTTCTGAGTTAAAAAATATTCTCGTATAAACTTAGTAAATTTGGTTGCTATTAGATCAGAGCTCTTTGTACTTTACATAGCTCCGATTTGTATCCTTGCTGTACCACTAATTTCTTTGCTGGAAATTTATTTGATCAACAGTTCCTGGCTGGAACAGATTCCCAGTCCCAGGGAGGTTCAGTGCAAATTCCTGCAGCGTTTAGGAATTTCTCGATGTCTCAAAAGGAAAAGACCCTTGAGGAACTTGTGAAGGATCAGTGGCTTTCTCTAACAGATGTTAAGATAGGACTAGGAGTGCGTTCCTTTCTTGATCTTAGAAGTTGGTTTCGCAGTAACGAGGTTCCTCCATGTGAAGTTTGCAATGAAGCTGCAGTGAAGGTTTGCTCCTCTCTTAATTTCTTCGTTTGATCTCCATGATCTCTGTTAAACAACTTTCTCCTTTCAAATTGGAGCACTTTTACTGCCATTTTAGCTGAATACTCAATTCATCTTCCCTTACTGCAATTTGGTTTGATAATGTCACTACAAACATCCATTCCCTAAGAAAGATGCCTATGTGTCTATGATAACTATATGGCTGCTAGATCATCCAATTCATGGTGATATGATTATTTGACCAGGCTGAGCTTTGCCAAAATGAAGGCTGTAATGTTCGCACCCATCAGTACTGCCTGCGAATGAAGTTCTCCCAACGCAAGGTATTATTCTTTCCTATTATTCCCCTTGGAATAACTTCTATAGCTATTTTGCCCTCAAGGCTTTTGGTTCAGTGGTAAGAGTGGAACGCGTGATGTGTGGGTTAGACGCACGTCACAGGGTCGAACCTTACGATGGACCAAAAGTCTGCATTTAAGTGTAGGAGAGGGCCCATTATCCACCTAGTTCCAAACAGTGCGCCATCTGGCCCTCGAGGATTTCTTGGTTATAAAAAAAAAAGTCTCATCTATGAAAGCGAGCTTGATGAACTAAACCATCGTTGAACCCATTATTTTCAGGCTGAAAAAGTTTGTCCAGGGTGTGGAACAGAATGGCATTATAACATTGCAAAAGCAGAAGTTGTAGACGAAGGAGAGGATGCATCTGCTCCTCCTGAAAGTCAGCAGCCTGGTGAACCCTTAATGAGAAAGAGGCGGAGGACCTGTGGAGGGACCGATGCTGATACCCCCTTAACGAGAAACAGGCCAAGGACCTGTGGAGGTACTGATTCTGATACTCTCAAGCCTGGATCATCTCAAAGTACGAGGGTGACTCGGACTTCTGCCCGTCTGAGGAGTGCAAGTTAAGAAGTTTGTTTTGCTAGTTTTTGTGGTCATGCACATCTAACTAAGTATATGAAAATGGCTGTCCATATATTTTTGCACCCCATGAAGGTTTACTTATTTTGTAGACCTAATTCTAACTTTTGATTGTAGATTATAGGAGCGTCCAGATTAGTATCTTTATCATCTCTATTCTCTTGGTGTTCTCCAATTGCCATTGTCGCACAGATGATTTCTTCCTAGTATATACTAGTGAAATTTTATTGATGTTTTAACTCTATTCAGATCCATTCCTTCTTAAACTTTTGAATTCAACTTGTAAGGAAAAATTGTTGGAGAACTTTTAAGATGGGCTGAACGAAAGTTTGTAAGCTAATTGTGTTGGTAAATTCGCAAATGGTAATATCCCCTTTTGCCTGGTGTTGAGACAAAGATTTGTTAAATTTATTCTCGCGCTTATAAATTCGCAAATACTAATGCGTCCATTTTTTCAATTAAAAAACGCTACTCTTGCTTTATTGTTTGTACTAGCAATCAATATTGTAGTTTAAACCATTATCCTTAGAATGACACCCTTGCTCTCATAAGTTTGGCTCTTTTTCATGTCAGTTTGAAGCTGTGATAGCGAAGAAACTGAAAAAATACAGTTACACTCAGGTCATACAATATCCAAATTCCCAGACATGCAACTTAAATCCAAATATTCTTTTTCGCCAATCCTACAATAGTGCCAACAATTTCCATACAAACTTAAAATGTTAAGTAATTTCCTCCCTCTTGTTCATTTTCAAGTGCAAATCATCAAATATCAACGACGAAACAACCATATCAATGTCAACATTTAGCTTCTAAGGGGAAATGGTCTGGATTGTATGTTAAGAGCACACTCTCCGAGAATTGATGAAATAGTGGTAGATTATGAAGCTGAGGCATAAGAAGATCATGAAGCCACCGACCCAAAGGTTCAAATCAATTGGATACTTGACTTGGCAAGACAACTCTAGCCAAGAAAATATATAATTACAGACGCATAACTTTTCACTCAATATTTGAGCATGGTGTTGCATTTCACAAGTATGTGAGAAAAGAAATTTGTCAAAAATTAAGTTATTTCCTTCAATTAAATTTTAAAGTGACGAATTTCTCTTATGTACTGGGGAAACCGATACCATGCTCAAACAACATCGTGAATAGTTATGTACTTGCAATTTATACATGTTCTTGGTTAGAGTTGCCTTGCCAAGTCCAAGTGGTCACCGATTGATTTGAACATTCAGCTAAATGGCTTCATAAGCTTTTTCTACCTCACCTTCCAAACCACTATTTCATCAATTTTCGAAGACTGGTTGTTGTGAGATACGACAAGTAGCTTCTTGATCACGCTTTAGTCATACAAATAACTGAAACATGTCTCACTGTCAGCACGATCTGGTATAAGACAACAAGCTCTTTAGTTTGTAGTAGCAACTTTGCAGACCAAAGTTTTAGGCGAGGTATAGCACCAATTCCTTCAAACGAGCAAATGATTTCTATTTGGTCTTGCAAGTCAAGAGTTCCATTAGCATCTTCTTCCTCTATCTAGTTTTGGTGTATGCAAGTAATAGACAAGGAAAGTCCTGCATACAGAGATCATTGACATTTTTGTCAAATACGCGTAAACGGCCAAACACAAAGCTTGGTTGAATGGTTGAACTTATCTAGTACATAATAATGATGCCAAGTTTAGTCAACTCATTTCCTACCAAAACCAAGTACACATTACCATTTGATAGCATCAAAGCTTCAGAGAAGGGGTATGCAATTAACCTCCAGATGCTTCCTCTGCAAAGCTGAATCTGAAAACAATAGCCATCTCATCTCTTTCTCCATTGTGCTTTCACTTCCCAACTATGGAATCTATTTTTGGCCCTGGTAAATTTGAAATGGATAATGCCGGGAAACACATGTGATCTACGGAAAGCTTGGAACTATGCTGGTAAAATGGTCGTTCAGAAAAAATGGTGGAGGATTATCCCAGCTTGCATTTGGTGGACCATATGGAAGGAAAGAAATAACACATGTTTTGAAGACAGGAGTAGCTCCATACAAGTAGTTAAAATGAATTGTATTTTAAATTTTTACTTTTGGTGTAAAGAGTTTTCAGTAGGAGATGAAGAATCTATTCTACAATTTTTGGAAGCCTTGTAAAGTTCACACGGATAGTATTAGTACCCTATAAATACTGTTGCCAGCATAATCTTTGTGCCGGTGAATAAAATTTGTTACCATTCTCAAAAAGAAATAGTGGCCCAGGAACTTTTAAAAAGTTGTATCTCAAAATACAGTTTGATCTTTTATCTTAACATGGCTTGCTTGATATATAAAGCAAAACACTGTTCTTTAAGATAAGTACATTGTAATTTGCAAGTAAAATAAAAATTACAGCAAGCAACCAAAGTAGGACACTGTAATATGCTGGAAAAGACTAATTAATCTTATAATTTTTGAAGTTACTAGTGAAATGACAAGAATACTCCAACAGAATTAGCATGCCTGTTTTGGTGCAAAAATAAAGAAAATAGAAAGATTCAGAATTAAGACATAGGCCAGCATAAGTTGTTAACGCTAAACAGAAAAAAATAAGTTTATTATCATAACTCATGCCCCTCAAAGATCAAATTTTAGCAGATTAAATTGATCTTCATTATAAAGATTACATTTCCAAAGAGATCGTGCAACATAGAGCTACTCAGAGGTCTAAAATGATACGGTATCAAACATAAAATGGTTATGCTATAGTAAGCTACCGAGGGGCGAAGCTAGAAGCCCGAAGATGGATTAGGCCGAGCCTAGTAGTTTTTGTTCAAACAATGTTAAAATATTCATTTATATAAACAAAAATTAAATTTAGAATCCAATTATTAGCATTTGTTCTTGAGCCGAGAGTCTACCGAAAACAGGCTCCCCACCTTCATAAGGTAGAGGTAAAGATATGCGTACACGTTACTCTCCCCAATCCACACTTGTGAGATTTGTTGTTGTAATTATTAGCATTTGAGATCGTTCTAAAATCAATCCTAAATAAATAAATAAATAAAAATCCTACCCCCCGTATTTCTTATTTGATCAAGCTTCAAAAAGCTCCTTAACAAATAGTAACTGAGAAATTATACTCTCTCGTCTCAATTTATGTTATGCTCTTTCACTTAATCTATCAAACATTTCTGTAGAAACAATTTTACTTTAAACTTCTACCGTCACATATATGGTTTATTTTAAAACACAAGTTTAAAAAGTCTTATTTCTTAAATTCCGTGTCTAATCCAACATCATCACACATATTAGGACGGTGGGAGTACAAATTTAAGACATTACTCATTAACAAATAAAACAAATACAGAGATTGAAGCTTTATAAATTTAAAAATGAAAAGTTCTTGTACCATTTGTTAAGCAGCTTGAGATAAATTCAGATCTGATCCAAAACACGTTCTTGGCAATGTCGCCGCCGCCGGCGAGAACGCCGTTTGACGGCGGCTGAAGGTGAATTGAGCTCCCTATAACCCTAATCCTAGTAAGAAAGTACATTTTTATACGTGATTTGGCCCCTTTGGTCGGTTTAGTTTCACTAATTAAATTACATTCATCTCCCTCTATTTTAATAAAATTATGTTTAACTATAACTTAAATTTTAAAATTTTCATTTAGAATCCTAATCCTTTTAAATTTTAAAATTACATGTAAAAGTCTAATGAGATACATTGCTCCCTATTTTTATGTGAGTGTGGCCTCTTTTAATAAGTTTACATTTTTTCAATTAAATTAAAATTTCATCTTTTTGTATTTAACTTGTATCTCTCTAATTAACCTTAGTAACAAGAGTGAGTTGCTCTAGTGGTGAGCACCCTCCACTTCCAACCAAGAGGTTGTGAGTTCGAGTCACCCCAAGAGCAAGGTGGGAGTTCTTGGAGGGAGGGAGCCGATGGTCTATCGGAAACAGCCTCTCTACCCCAGGATAGGGGTAAGGTGGGAGTTGTTGTTATTGTTGTTGCCTCTAATTAACCTTAGTGTAAGAGATTACATTACATTTCGTCAATTACATTACATTGACTTGTTTCTACAATAGTAAAATTATGTTTAAGTATAATTTAGATTTTAAACTATGCTTATGACCTCTATTTGTATTTAACCTTCCTCTCTCTCTAATCCCCACTTCGCGTCAATTAAGTTATGTTCATTCTCTATCTTAATAAGATTGTGCTTACTTATAACTTAGATTATAAAATTGCAATTATGACTTTATCGATATTTTATTTTCTTCATATTTAACCTTTCCCTCTCCATCCTAACCATATAGTAAAACTTATCTTTTTATATAAGATTAGTCTCTTTTGGTAAGTTTACATTTCTTCAATTAAATTACATTCATCTATGCCAATCTTAGTAAGATTATGGGTATCATTAATATATTCTAAAACGACTCCTACGATCGTCATTTTTGTATTTAACCTTCTTCTCTCTAACCCTGACACGAGATATATAATGCAATATGCTTTTTAACATGCGAGTTTGGCCCTGGTACGTATAGCTTAGATTTTAAAATTATATTTGTAACATTATCATCATCTCTTTTTTTTAATTACTCTTATGGTACGCGCGTTACGCGGGTGTCCAATCTCAATGAGCACATTTAAAGAAAATTATCGACTATGTGTGTGTGTTTGACGAAGGTAGTGATTATTTGATTCTAGTAGTTAAAGCAATTATGCTAAGAGTTTAGTCAAATTGCAAAATAATTTTACTTAAAGGTGAATTGAGAATGAAAAAAATGAATTGAATCTCTTGTTAATCAGTTATTGCAAAAATTTACTCATTTTTTAATATTAAAATAACATCTTCTTTTCTTGTTGATTCAAATTCTTCATATTATCTCATCTCAATCTTTAAACATATTTAATTATAATTATAATTTTATCCACTAAAAGTTTTAATCTCACATTTTACTTTTGTATACTTGTGTTTGTAGAATCCAAACATTATAGTTATTAACTTTCCCCAATAACTTTATGTCATGACCCAATTTTTTCTCCGTTGGGTATCGTGATGGCAATAGAAGAGATAACAATTTCAGCTAAGGCACGGATGAATCAAATACACAACAAGAGTGGGTCATGAAACAATTAATTCTAATTAAAGCAGGTAGAGGTGAAACTAGTAATTAAGAGACGTATTCATAACATAACAACTGCATAATCAGTGAATACAAGGACCTAAGAACCCTAAAAGGTCAATTTTCCACAAATAAGTCCGAGCACGTACTCGTCATCTCATGTACACGGACTATAATTAGCATAGAAGACTCAAAGAAGACAGACTGATACTCTAAAATGAACTTCTCGGGTGAAATGGCCTTCGGATAGCTCAAATCTAACCAAAATAACTTCAAAGCACAAATAAAACTCATAAGAAATTATTATGGATCATAAAGCCTCAATCTTTATCAAAATCTAAAAATCGACCCAAAGGTCGACCCCCGGGGCTCCGCACCTTGGAACCCGACAAATTTCACAAAACATGAACACACATTCCGATACGAGTTCAACCATACTAAAATTATCAAATTACGATACCAAACCGTCCCTCAAATCTTGATTTTTCATTTTGAAAATTTTCTTAAAGAACCTCTATTTTTCTCAACTCAAAATACAAATTAAATGATGAAATCATGAAATATAATAAATTATAGGTGAAGAACACGTACCCAATCGATTTGCTCGAAAACCCCATACAGAAACTCCCAAAACTGAGGTCTAAAACTCAAAATATGGAAAAAATGGCAAAACCCTCGAATATAAACTCTCTGCCCAGGACTTCCGCATATGCGGACAAATAAGCACATTTATGGGCAGACGTTCGCATCTGTGAATTTAACTTACCAGGCCCAGGTCCGCATATGCGGACAATATAGCCGCACCAGCGATGCCGCAAAAGCGATGACAGGAGCGCAGAAGCGAACTCCTTCGCAGAAGCGGTCTTCGCACCTGCGTGCCAGCTTCCGCAGAAGCGAGCGAGCTCCCAGGCCTCAACGATCGCAGAAGCGACCATGCTCACGTAGAAGTGGATCCACACTTGCGCTCCAGGATTTCGCAGGTGCGAGACACCAGAAATAGACATGTCAAAAACTATGAAAACCATCCGAAACTCGTCCGAAACACACCCGGACCCCCCGGGACCCTGTCCAAGCATACCAACAAGTTCCATAACCTAACACGGATTTGCTTGAAGTCTCAAATCACATCAAACAACGTTGAAACTACGAATCGCACCAAGAATCAAACTTATGAACTTTCAAATCTTCCAACTTCTAAAACTCGTGCCGAAACCTATCAACTCAACCTGGAATGACGTCAAATTTTGCAGGCAAGTCCCAAATGACATAACAGAGCTGTTCTAACTCTCGGAATCGCATTTTGACCTCGATATCACCAAAGTCAATTATTGGTCAAACCTCTCCACCTTCCAAACTTCAAGTTTTTCAACTTTCGCCGAAATGCTTCAAATCACCCTACGGACCTCCAAATCCGGACGCACACCTAAGTCCAAAATCACATACGAAGCTGTTGAAATCATCCAAAACCCATTCTGGAGCCGTTTACACAAAAGTCAAATTCCAGTCAACTCTTACCGCTTAAGCTTCCAAAACTATAATCCTTCTTCCGATTTGACTCTGATTCATTCGGTAACTGAACTCGACCACGCACGCAAGTCAATACATATAATACGAAGTTGTTCAAGACCTTATGCTGTCGAACGAGACTTAATTCTCAAAACGACTGGCCGGGTCGTTACATCCCCCCTCTTAAACAAACGTTCATCCTCGAACGTGCGAAGTATTGCCTCGAAGCCGTCGAATCACTGAATGCACACATCCAACATACACGCGGGTGACCCTATGTCACCCCAATCCATATAAGCCCGACGACACCATCGCAACTATAATTTATCCATTCCACCAACATCAATAAGCCTTAGAGTCAACATTTTCCACTATCTGCTCGTCTTCAAAAGACCCGATTCTAAATACACACTCGGTATCAGTCCCAACTAGATGCAACCACTTATTCCTACACCCACAGAGTACAACCACACAATATGACACATCACACATAGGTCCATAATAACAGTTCTAATCATAATAGCTGCCCTTAATCAAATCCAGCACCAACAATTAGCCTCATATCTGTTAGAACCATGTTTCAAACTTCCACAATGTTGACAATGATGGAAGAAACATGAAGACCTCATAACTGTACGCCCGGATCAACAAGTCACAACTAACGCCTCCGGGCACACACACCTCAAGCTAAAACTCAGGAAGCACAGAACGAAAATGACTGAACATGTAAGGAGAAACACATAAGAGAAATATCAAACAACCCCGACATGAACAACTCTCTATCAGTACCATCCTACGAATCAATTTTGAAAGGAAAAATTAAAGTACATGAACAAATCACAAGGATATCATTCTGATATAACTTCCACCGCGGCATACAACCCTGCTCAAATATATCAAATCACATGGAATCGCGAGGGTCTCACCCTCAACTCTGAATCACAGGTCGAATACACATCATACCAATTGAAACCTTCTATTAACTCAATCCTGCCAGTAAAATCACAACACTTACTGAACTCTCACTCCGGTAGATCATCTAAATTACAAATTGTAACCAAATTACTTAGGAATCACATCAAAACCTACCATAATGGACAACATGAATTCACTTCTAGTCTCGTAACTCTCAATAATGAATAAAAACAAACGATAGATACGGACTACCACTCATAGAATCTCCCAACAGGGGTAAACATATAAGTAGAGTACTAATCATGAAACTCACCCATAAATAAAGCAACAAATAAGGGAACTCACCCCGATAAGCAGAACCAAAACAAAATACGAATGGTGCCCCTCTGTAACAAATCAAAAACATACCCGTATGACATCATCTGGTGCAGCGACCTCAAGCCTACTATATGAAACACATCAACGGTCCGGACCTCCCCCTCTTGGGTACCCTCTACTCGCCTGAATACCCCCTTGTGACACATCTTTCCGAAGTCCGGGACAATCTCTCACCATGTGGATGGTATCTCCACACTCAAAGAAACCCCTTTGCTGATGTGGCTGTGGGAACTATGCGGTACGGGTACTCTGTGACCCATAAGTACCTGAAACACAGTGCGAAGCCTGAAGTGCAACTGAACTGGCTGACCTACAAAACCTATACCATGTCGTACCCTGCCTCCAAAATAAGGACCAGTAGATCTCTCCGGTCTACGAGGCCTCCTAGCCTCTCTGTCCTCTCTCTACTGACCTCGCATGTCCTCTCTCTCATGGACCCGTCTGCGCCAATATACCAAACATGCTCAGGAACTGTGCTAAGGTCTCCTGAAGTTCGGGGGTAACAACATGCGCCTCTGGTACCTTCCCCCCTTGGAACTACTGGCAGCTCCTCAACTGTTGCTCTGGTAGGTGCCCTAGCTACAACACGTGCTCCTCATCAGCC